TATCCTGGTATTCTGGTATCCTGGTATTCTGGTATCCTGGTATTCCGGTATTCTGGTATTCTGGTATTCTGGTAAGAATTGAAACTACTCCTGGGATGTTAGAAACTGTTGAATCTCCGAGAATTTATAGGAAAACTTGTAATCAAATGGACTTAGGTGTTTGTTCGAGGGTTGTGTAATGTGCATGTGTGTAAGTGTGTGTTTGTGAAAGTTGGGATATGTTTGGAAGGGGGACCGTTTGTCTGTCAGTGTGTGTATGCCTTTTTTCTGCTTGTTTTTCTGTGTTTCTGTCTATCTATTTGTGTGTGTCTATCTGGCTGTGTGTGTTTATCTGTCTGTCTATGTGTGTGTCTGTTAGAATGAAGAGTATAAAACATAATAGTAGTATATTTGTCAGAAAAGCGTAGAAACGTTGGGATAATTAAACTTGACATTGGAATTGGGGGATATTTAGGATACAACCCACCCCCNGACTGGATAAAAGAATGGAAGGAAAGAGGACTGGATAAAAGAATGGAAGGAAAGAGGACTGGATAAAAGAATGGAAGGAAAGAGGACTGGATAAAAGAATGGAAGGAAAGAGGACTGGATAAAAGAATGGAAGGAAAGAGGACTGGATAAAAGAATGGAAGGAAAGAGGACTGGATAAAAGAATGGAAGGAAAGAGGACTGGATAAAAGAATGGAAGGAAAGAGGACTGGATAAAAGAATGGAAGGAAAGAGGACTGGATAAAAGAATGGAAGGAAAGAGGACTGGATAAAAGAATGGAAGGAAAGAGGACTGGATAAAAGAATGGAAGGAAAGAGGACTGGATAAAAGAATGGAAGGAAAGAGGACTGGATAAAAGAATGGAAGGAAAGAGGACTGGATAAAAGAATGGAAGGAAAGAGGACTGGATAAAAGAATGGAAGGAAAGAGGACTGGATAAAAGAATGGAAGGAAAGAGGACTGGATAAAAGAATGGAAGGAAAGAGGACTGGATAAAAGAATGGAAGGAAAGAGGACTGGATAAAAGAATGGAAGGAAAGAGGACTGGATAAAAGAATGGAAGGAAAGAGGACTGGATAAAAGAATGGAAGGAAAGAGGACTGGATAAAAGAATGGAAGGAAAGAGGACTGGATAAAAGAATGGAAGGAAAGAGGACTGGATAAAAGAATGGAAGGAAAGAGGACTGGATAAAAGAATGGAAGGAAAGAGGACTGGATAAAAGAATGGAAGGAAAGAGGACTGGATAAAAGAATGAAGAAAAGGATTGGATAACAGAATGAAAGGAAAGAGGACTGAATAAACCTATCTATAATTAAATCATCTATCATCCATCTATCTATCTATCTATTATATATATATATATTATATATTTCAGTTTTTAACTTCACATTTTTTTATTAAAAAAGAAATATACTAAACATAATGTTTCACGTCTATCATGACGATATTCAGTAGTTACAATTCTTTGAACAAATATATATATTTATCTATCTATCTATCTATCCATCCACCTATTTTTATCTATCTATATTTCTTTTTGTCTTTTTTGTTCTTAAAAAGATATTTTTATATGCTTAAAAGTATATATAAAAGTACATGTAATGTATAAATTAGAAAAATTAGAAAATTTTGAATGTAGAATGATATATAATGTTTGCTAAGCAATACAAGACTGTTTTAGAAAAATATACAGTATGTAAGCACCATCGTTCTTCAATAGATATTTGATCTTAGCGCCCATGCAAATTGAGAAAATTGCAACATACGACTTAGACCGTAAAAAATCAATTGAATTTCAAACAAATCATTTAGATATTACAACCTATAGTCATCGATTATCTTTCGCCACATTTGTATATAGTTTATATTTTACAAAAAAATCATCCATATCTATCTTAAAATTTATACATCCTACCAACCATCATTCCATCAATCCATCTATCTATAAATCTATCCATCCTTCCAACCATCCTTCCATTAATCTATTCATCCATCTATCTATCAATCTATCCATCTAACCATAAAATCAATTTTGACCAATTTATCCCAATGACTTGAAACAGTTTTGAACAAAACCTAAAACTAAAATCATCNTAGGATTAAGATGGAAGAGTAAAGAATAAAGATTTTAGGATTAAGATGGAAGCGTAAAGGATAATTTATAATGATTAAAATTAGGATGGCAAAGTGATTTCAGGGTTAATAAGATGAAATTGGAAGAAAAAAGGATTAAGATAAGATGGATAATTAAAAAAAGTTGTATAACAAGAAATTTTGCCTATATGAACCAAATTGTCATAGAATTCCAAGCTTCAAAATATACTGCCTGTATCTCTTGGAACCAGCGATATCTCACCAGAACAAGTAGATATTATTTAATGGAAACCTTTTCATGATGGCCTTCATGGAAACTTATTTATTTATACCTCTATAAAAATTCAAATGGCATTCGCATTCTTTGTTTAGCTCTTTGCGGCTGTTTGGCGCAATTTGTCGCGAGTTGCGGGTTTCTGAAAACATAGATAAAGAGTAAAATAGGTAGCTGAAGGTTCTTGAATGTAGAGACTTGAGTTTTGGAAGGAGGCTCATGAACATTTATACTGAACAAGGTAATACATGCAGAAAGGTCTGGGGAAAGAAATCAATGGAATAGAGGAATTGAGTTTTTGCCACAAACTCTGAGTTTCTAATGTCAATTTCGTTGCAACCCAATGTCGTAGACCTTTAATATTTCAATCTTTAAAAGATATTAGATCAAATAATGTAAGTTTGAAATATCAAAGGTTTACATCATAAGGCTGCAAAGATATAGGTCTTACAAAAACTAAATTTGTGGCAAAGACTCAATTCCTTTAACGGAAAAAAGTTACTAAGCATTTAAAAGGTGTCTCCAGCTGTACAGGGTGTGTCTTTAAAAAAACATCAATATCTCACCAGGACGGAGTGATATGAGTTAACAGAACCTGTTTTCAATCACCCTTATTTATGAGAACCAGGAACTAGTTAAATACCAAGCTAAACTTTTTTTGCTCTTAAGGAACACTGTGTCAAGCAACCAGTGTAGTTTACCTCAAATGTACAAGAGAGGTGTACCTAGAAAAACGGTACACTCATAAAACATTACACTCTATTATGAACTTATAAACAAGCAAATATAAAAATGATAGAGTAACGTTTTTTCTTTAAAATCGTTTTATCTGGTAGCGTTTTAGGAGTGTAGCGTTTTATAAGGTAGCGTTTTTCTGGTATGATCACAAAAGATTGCTTTAAAGTTAAATTTAGTCGTCGTTTAATTGCAAAGTTTTGAAGGATCCTATTTTATGTAGTAATTTATAGCTTGTTAGTTGGTCATTTTTTTTTCCTTTTTCTTGTTTTTTTTTCTCCCTCCTCATTCTTATTTTACCTTGTATTACCCTTTAGCCTCCCAACCCCTCCCCAAGTCCAACATCCCCCCATGTCCCTCCTCTCTCACATCACT